TCTTGATTCTCCCAGTTATATTTTATGCTTTATCCTTGATTCTTTGTCTTCAAGAATGCCCATTACACCATCATAGGGGTTGATTTGGAGAGACTTTTGTTTTTCATATTTCTTTTACTTTTTTTTATTTTTTATTTTATTATTTGCTAGCTCTTTTTTGTAACACTTTTTTCCCTTTTTCTTTTTTATATTTCTTTCTACTTGGAAAAATTCATCAATTGTTAAAATCTTTTGAAACATGCTCTAGTGTGAAAGGTGACCCTAGCTTGGGTTATTATTCAAAAAATATTTAAGGCTTAAAGAGGAACAACCAATGATAAATCTTATTTATGAAAGATGTATCAAAAATAACTTTTTTTCCAGTGAAGATGAGAAAAGAACATGCCTGAAAAGCAAATGAAAATTGCTTTTCAAAAACTAAGATCCAACCTTAGTTTTGGATGGAACCCATAACAATAAAAATATAGTTAATATCTAACCAAACACTTATAAATTGTGTTTTCATGCAGCCATAGCACCAAACACACATTTTATCTAAAATCAAATTTGCTCATGTTAATAAATTCTATCCTCATCATCATAAATTAGAAAAATCATGATGTTAATCTTAGAGAAAAAGTGGTATGATGGATGGGATCATGACCTAATGAACTTTATTTATCATTATTTAAGACATACAAGCATTTGATTCTATTTTGGGTAAAATTATATTATTTTAAGTAGAATTCTTTTCGTTAAGGTTTGCTAAGAGTGAAAATGGGATTTTACGGTTCAAATAAGGTTTGAAGCAAGATTTCTCTCCTTTCAAACTTGTTAAGGAAAAAAAAACATTTTTTGAATCCAAAAAGAAGAGATAAGTTGAACTCTAACTTTTATGGTTGATTGAAAAAGGAGATTTTTTGGATTCAAAAAGAAGGATTGCTCCCTAGTACTTGCATGCAAGGTTGTTAAAAATGCATTTTTAACATGGCATGGAAAATATAAAATAAACTTGGATAGTAAAAACGGATTGTAAAATCGTAAAAAGTTATTTTTATATTATAAAAATGTTTTAAAAAACTATAGATTATTTTATTTTTTTCTTCAAATTATTTTTTTATGATTTTAGATAATTTTAATATATGGATATTAAAAATAAAATTTAAAAAAAAAACTATTATTTATGTGTACAATTAAGCACATAAACATTATTTAAATTGATTGATCAAAGAACTTGATTAATTAATTGTTATAATATAAGAATAATACGAATCATTATATATAAAATTATAATGAATGATGTTTTTTAAAATTATTTTTATCTAAAAATATATTAATATATTAAAATTATATACAAATATTCTTTGATGTTAAAAACATTTCAAAAAAGATATAGAAACACAATAAAAAACCATGCCAATTGCCAAATACCTGTTAAGATGAGAGATTCTGAAACCTTTACTTGGCCACATCATGTTATAAATATAATATTTACAGTTTTACTTGGTCACTTCATAGCTATAACTATAGTCTTTAGACTCTTTACACCTTTAAATATAGTCTTTACAGCTTTACTTGGCCACGTTATATTATAAGTATATTCTTTAAAATACACGTGAGCTAAAGCTATTGGAGACTGAAATATTTAATTTTTAATGAAATTGTAAAAATGATTTTAAAATCATGATTTTATTTGATTTTAATTATTTTTAAGTTTTGAAAATAATTTTATACATGAAACATATATTAACTCGTAAAATTATATAATTTTATAAGTTAATTCATGATTTTAACAATCATGTTTGAAATTTGACTAATTTTAAAAAAGTTTTGATGATTTTTTTCATTATATTTATTTAATTATAGATAAAAATAAATGTTATTTTCATATAATACTTATTTAATATTTTTTTTATATAAAGAAAAAAATCATCATTGTACTATTCCAATTGTCATCGATCCTCTTACAAGAAATAATGTTTTTATATGGGGAATTAGCTTTTGTTAAAGTAACCCTGAGTGATTATTTAAATTTTATTGACCTTTTCGTGTCTCTCGTAGCCCCTCCCCTTTAAAGGTGGATTAATGGGTATATATTTCTTCTTCGTTTTTTCATTTCCGGGGCATTCATTGGATAGAAGGTATATGAACAGTCTCAACCTCATTGTCACTTTCAGGCCCCACATGCATGGTTGGTGGGGACTTCTGTGCGCAAATGATATTTGATGAAAGTGATTATCCTTTCGTTTGTCCTTTTCTTGTCAATAATAATAATAATAAATAATAAATAAATAAATATTATATATTCCCTTTAAAGTAGGATTAATGGGGGTGTGTGTGTGTGATCTGTGTTTCCAATGTCCAAACTCTAATTTGCTCTAAAAATATTATATATTCCCAGCTTCTTCTCAAAAATATTGAAGTATTAGACTGGATGCTGTCCATTTAGCATGGCGGTTCAAACTGTTACAAAAAAAAAAACACCAAAATGCATCGGACTTTTGGTGTACACACATCTTAATTTATTATGGATTGTTACATTAAATTTACCATTTTTTCCCTGGTAAAAAAAATCAATTGACATGGTTTTAAGGGTAAAAAAGTTTTGTCATCATGGTACTTTTTTTATTTTCAAATTTTAACAAAGAAGTCTTTTTACATATTTGATGCACAATTCAATGACTTTAACGTCCACAAAAAGACAAAAACTGGGGTCCAAGGCTTTCTAGTCATTTCATGATTTAAATGGTAGTGAATTTACCACATTGCCCTTGAAGGGGGGAAAACACATCGTATGGTTAGAGGCACTTCAGACTTTTCAATGTATTTTTTCTTTTTATGAATACTAATTTAGATGAGGAGCAATTGAGTCTCTCCACGTATATAAGGTCATTAAAAAAAGAATAAGGAGCACACGCGACAACAA